TGTCGGTGCCGTTGCAGCTGGGCTTGCCGGACGCCATTCCTCCCCAGTACGGGGCCCTGAAGGAAGTGAGCATCCACACCGTCCGGGCCAGGCTCCGGCTCCTCTACCACTTCTCCGACCTCATGTACTCCTCCTGGAGGTTGCTGAACCTCAGTCCCAACAATCAGGTGAGGCCCCTGCCTCTGCCCCCTATGCCCAGCCCCCTATGCACACCCCTCCCAGGAAACCTGCTCAGGGATTTGACAGCCTCAGGGAGGGGGGCAAGGCTTTGGCAGCTCCCCTGGGCAAGGAGTCGCACCCAGATTGCCCTCCAGAGGTGCTGAGGAAGGGACAGTGGGCACAGGACCTCCAGCCATTTGGAAGGGCCGGACCCAGGAGGGGGGAGGGGCCGAGGGGAGGGTGGGAGGTCAGTCTGGCCCTTGAAGGAAGAAAAGGGGTCGCTTTCTGAAGTGGCAGAGGAGCCCACTCCTTTTCTGCCCCTGGCTGGGTGGGGGGGGAGGCTGACCTTTGAGCCCAGCCTTCCCATGGTGGCCCCCGTTCAGAGCCCCTCCCCTCTTGCCCTCCGTCTGGGGGCTCCGTCTCGGGTAGAGCTCTCGGCCTCCCTCCGGTTACAGAGCAGCACATCCCACTACAACGCCGGCACTTGGGGGATCGTCCAAGGGCAGCTGAGGCCACTGCTGGCGCCCCGCGTCTACACACTGCCCATGGTGCGTTCCATTGGGAAGACGATGGTCCAGGGGAAGAACTACGGCCCCCAGATCACGGTCAAGAGGATCTCCACCAGGTCAGCCTTCCGGCCCCGGGAGGGACGTGCAACCGACGTGGGTGTGGCCGGGCACGCTTGGGTGGCTGACCCCTCCTCCCTCTCTTCCCAAGGGGCCGGAAGTGCAAGCCCATCCTGGTACAGATCGCCAGGCAGGTGGTCAAGCTGAACGCCTCCGATCTTCGGCTGCCCTCTCGGGCCTGGAAGGTGAAGCTGGTGGGCGAAGGCGCTGACGATGCCGGGGGCGTCTTCGACGACACCATCACAGAGATGTGCCAGGTGCGGCAGGATTCCAGGATGCCAGCTGGCATCGCTTCCCTTTCGGGCCCGGCCCCTGAAAAGGGAATGAGGACCCAGCTAGATAGCCAGCACTTCCCTCCTCCTCCTCCTCCTGGCCAAAGTGGAGGGGACGGGCCACATCTTTGCTCTCCCCAATTAAAACTCTGGAGTAGGCGGAGCACGTAAACATATCGTTCTGGGCCGGGACCAAAGCACACAGAGCAATGCCAGCGGCCGGTACTTGAGCCAGCTCTGAAGCTGCCCCTAGGGCGCCTGGTGTGCTTCCCCCACACTGATGGGACGTCCACCCAGAGCAGTCCAGCATCCGGGCAGCCGGCAGTCAGCAAAGCCAACTTGGGAAAAAGGATATAAAACATTTGCTAAGGTTTTCCCAGCTTTTTACCGCCACATGCCGGGTTCCTAAAGGCCAGTTGGGAGACTGGAGGGGGGGAGAGTTCACGGGGGCTGCTCTGCGTCCTCTCGCTGTTGCTGGACTTGCTTTTGGGAGCCATTTAATCATTCAGAAACCCCTTTTCCCCGTTCATTCGTAAGGAACTTGAAACCGGGATTGTAGACCTGCTGATTCCTTCCCCAAACGCAACGGCCGAAGTCGGCTACAACAGGGACCGGTAAGTTAGCCGTCTGCCCTCTGAAAGACACCAGGGGGGGGGGGGCCCTTCTGACCTTCTGACCAGGCAAGAAGGGGACTTAGGGAGCCTGTTTTGGAGTTTGTTCCTTTGGAAGGTGGGCCAGGAGTGAACAGGTTGGTCCCCAGCGATTTGCCACCAGCCCCTCCCCCTCCCCAACTTTCTGTCTTCCCGCCGGCTGCCCAGGGGAGGAAAGAGGCCCAGCCGTTGGCAGCCAGTCCGTCTCCTGGCTCTTCCTTGGCTCTGTGCACTGGGAGCTTCTCCCTGGTCACAGAACTGGGTGCTGCCCCCGGGGATCTGGTCCGGGCCAATGGCAGCCTTGCGTCTTGCCAGGCTTCTCTTGAACCCCTCGGCCTGCCTGGAGGAGCACCTGATGCAGTTCAAGTTCCTGGGCATCCTGATGGGCGTGGCCATCCGCACCAAGAAGCCCCTGGACCTCCACCTGGCCCCGCTGGCCTGGAAGCAGCTTTGCTGCATCCCGCTGGCCCTGGAGGACCTGGAGGAGGTGGACCTGCTCTACGTGCAGACGCTGAATAGCATTCTTCACATTGAAGACAGCGGCATCACCGAGGAGAACTTCCACGAGGTGAGGGGAGCCCCCAGGCGGCTGGCCACGCCCGGGCCCAGCTACGGCCATGGCTTTCCTGACGACAGAGCAAGATTGGCCTGCGGCTCTTGCCAGTTGAACTCCTTGGGGGGAGGGGCGTGGGAGGGGGGGCTCCAGAAGGGGCTTTTCCTAGGGGTTGTGGGGGGAAGGGGTTGGAGGGATCCGTCTGTGTGAAAGGCAGCACCGCTTTGCAGAGTGCAACCAAAGGACGTGGCTCGATTTCTTTCCTGCTAGATGATTCCTCTAGATTCCTTTATTGGCCAGAGTGCCGATGGCAAAATGGTGCCCATCATCCCCGGTGGGAACAGCATCCCCCTCACTTTCTCCAACCGGAAGGAGTATGTGGAAAGAGCCATCGAGTACCGGCTGCACGAAATGGATCGCCAGGTAAAACCCAGAGGGGGTCTCTGCTTTGCTTTGCGGCCGTCCTGGGTGCCCCCTGAAGGGTCACCTGCCCTCCTGCGGCACAATCTGCCTCACCCTCTCGGCGTCATGGAAGGGACGTGGTTCATAGGCTCCACCCCCGAGATGGAAAGATTTATCCCGGTTCCCAGTTTGTCCCCAAAGACGGTTTGTTCCTCCTGAATTTCTTCGTGGCCGCTGAGCGTCTGCTCCCCTTGCAGGTGGCTGCCGTGCGGGAAGGGATGTCCTGGATCGTGCCGGTGCCTCTGCTGTCCCTGCTGACGGCCAAGCAGCTGGAGCAGATGGTCTGCGGGATGCCCGAGATCTCGGTGGACGTGCTGAAGAAGGTGGTGCGCTACCGCGAGGTGGACGAGCAGCACCAGCTGGTCCAGTGGTTCTGGCACACGCTGGAAGAATTCTCCAACGAGGAGAGGGTCCTTTTCATGAGGTTTGTGTCCGGAAGATCTCGCCTGCCAGCGAACACGGCGGATATTTCTCAGCGGTTCCAAATCATGAAGGTCGATAGGGTAAGATGGCGCTTCTCCCTCCCGCTTGCTCTGGTGCCTGATCAGCAAGACCAGGGGGGGCCCTGCCCCTGACACGGCCACTCGTCCATTTCCTGGGCAGCCGAGCAGACCCCCAAGGCTCTCGGGCTTTCAAGGCGGGGGGGCTTTTAAGCCGGGCTCTGCAGCTACGGCCACACCTGGGGAGAGGAGGGGGAGCCCCACAAGCTGAGCAGGTGGGAGTGGGGGGGGGGAGGATGAAGCTCAGCAAAAGGGCCACAGCAGAATTGCAAGGGTCTGGGGCAACAAATGCTCCGCCCCCAAAAGCGGGGTGGGATCTCAAAGAGAAACGCTAAACCAGCTTGTTAAACTGGGAACCCTGAGCTCCTCCAAAGGCCCACCGACATTCTCCTACCTGCCTCGGGAGGTTTGGGGGGGCCTCCATTGACCAGTACCCCCCCCCGGGCTTGGCCTAACCTGCCCCCCTCCCTCCCTCCCGCTCTTCTCCCCGCCAGCCTTACGACAGCTTGCCTACCTCACAGACCTGCTTCTTCCAACTGCGTCTCCCACCCTACTCCAGTCAGCTGGTCATGGCCGAGCGGCTGCGCTATGCAATCAACAATTGCAGGTCGATCGATATGGACAATTATATGCTGTCCCGAAACGTGGACAATGCCGAGGGCTCCGACACGGACTATTAACTGTGGACAAAATCCCCCCCCCCTTTCTCTCTCTCCCCCCTCCCTCCCTCCCTCCCTCCCTCTCTCTCTATCTCTCGCTCTCTATCTCTCTCAAAGAATGCCCACACCGGATTTCAGTGGTGACATGGTTTTACGGTAAAGATAGATGTTTTAGGAATATAAACAGTGGCCACCTTTTTAGTTACTCTAAATGTAACAAAAATTTAGATGTGTTTATTTTTTGTGACTGTAAGCAGAAAAATGCAAAAAAGTGAGATCAGTAAAGTTTTCCCCCTTTCTCCCCTCTTTTTTGTTCACTTTCGATAAGTTTGCATGGAGCCTTCCTGGTGCACTTTGTGGGGAATGGAGCCCTGTTTCCTTTTCCCAGTGAATCTGAAGAGCTGTACATTGTGTATAATTGTTCATTAGAAAGGACAGTTTTACATGAATATTCATATATTTATTTTTGTTTTAATTTGAAATGCCTGTGCAGGGTTCCTTATTCAAATAAAGCAGATTCAAGAAAGAAATAGTTCTCTTCTTTAAGGGCCTCTGATGATTATCCTTTTTGTCTGCCCTGACACTTTTATTTGTTTGTTTTTCATTTCTGAGTTTGCTCTCTCTTGGTTTTGCTCACAATTTCCAAAATGAAATTGACATTCCCAAGCAGTGAGGGAGGGAGGGAAGGAAAGTTTTATGCACAATGAATAATTTAGAGAACTACACAAACACATGGAAAAACTAAGTCAGTATGAGTTGAGATATACAATTCTTGGATTTAAGTTGTGTTAAAAATCTAGCATGTTTAACTGAAGAAGTACCTGAGCAAAAGGAAAGATGGTTTGTACAAATATTGTCCTTTAATTTAGAAGCTCCATCTCACAAAATAATCACTGCTAGTTTGAGAAATGGAAGAGAGCACAAGTGGCCCACTAAAAGGACAGCCTCAGTTTTTGTTAGCAAACAGCCCCTTTGCTACATCCATGGCAGGTTTGAGTAGAATTAACTTCCAGTAGCCCCATTTTACGTCTCTCTCGCAATGCGCACAGCATCTCAATCCACAAACAGAAAGAACAGAGCAGCCCCACCCACCCACCCCAAGCGTGGCTCCTTGCGTGGCTAATGCCACAGCATTCTCTTTAGGCCTCTCTCCAAGGCCCAGCCGCCTGGCCGCTTGTCCGGAATCATGTCCGCGCTTCTTTCCGCATGGAGAGTCAGGGACGGGCGCATCTTCCGGACTCGCTGCACCCCAGCAGCTGTGATGTTTCTGCAAAAGTCCACATGCAGAGTTTTTAGGGAGTCGGCATGGAGAGCAACCGCTTCCAGGGTCCGGTCAGTGATCAGGACGCAGTTCTCCAGCTGGAGAGTCCGGAGGCCGGGGCAGCTTTTGAGAAGCAGCACCAGGGAATCGTCTGTGACATGGCCGCATCCGGAGAGCTTCAGAGACAGCAAGCCGGGGGACCTGAAAGAAGTGGGAGCATGGAAGGTTAGAAGGGGTGGCTGGGATTTGGCCGCTTGAATGGAAAGCCAGCCCTGCAGTCTCTTCCTTCACCCGGACTTCGGGTCAATTCACAGGCACAGGCAGGCACCGGGGCTCGTAAGGATGGTTTGGATATTGCCAAGCCAAAAGCGGCCGTGCCTGGCTGGAGCGGGAAGGTCCAGCCTGAACTGAGGATAAGAAGTCAGTCTACGCTCAGCACCTGGGAAGCTTTTCATGCTTAGCAAGAACTATGAATGGCTGCATTGTCTTTGGAGCACATTTTCCAATGAAGCCGAGGGAGGGAGGGAGGGAGGGAGGGAGGGAGAGAGAGAGAGATTGGCAGATCTGCTTCCTGTCCTCCTGGAGCCACTTCTCCTCCTTCAGGCTATCAAGGATTTTTAGCTACATCTTAAAGAGACTAAAAACAAGCTAAGCGGTTGTGTTGATGCTCACTCACTAAGGTAGCGTTCAAGGAACAGGAGTAGAGTTTACAATTTCATTCTTTGATCCATGGTGTCTTTCTATTGTCCCCAATACTTGTACTGGTCACCTTTTAAAAATAACATGAATGAAATGTTGAAAAACTACAACTGCTATGATGCTTGTAAACTCCTCTTGACAAAAAATAGTTTTCATTCCAACCCAGGACGGGCACCAGTGTCACAAAGAAGATCGAGAGCTCCAGGGTTAACCAGGAGTGTGTGTGTGGGTGTGCCGCTGTCCCTTTGTTCAGACCAAAGAGTTAAACGTTCCCAAAGTGGGGGAGAGGAGGAGAAGGGGATAGAAATCACATGTCTCCAGCTAGGGGACTAAGAGCCTCTGCTGGAAATAAGCTTGGAATGCCTGAGCTCGGAGCAGCAGTTGGTGGCACAAAAGCCTCTGCGATTAGGACGCACAGAACAAGCTTGTTTGAAAACTGAAGGGCTCCGTTTTTTGCTTTTAAGAATCCTTGGGGAGGGGAGCATTGGGGGACCTTCCTGGGGTGCAGAAGCAGTTTAGGGGTGCGTGTAAACAAAACTGCTTTCTCCCCATTTCCTGGGGGGAGGGGGGGCACCCAAAGCCATTCCCACAAGCAGGGCATAACGTAGGCTGCACCTGCCTAGCAAGCAATGTTTCTTTTCCTACCTGTTGGAAACCTGGAGTAGAAAGTCGTTCACCAGAGGTTTGTGGAGGCTGCAGATGCTCCTCTGGAGCTCGTTCTTCATCCACTCCTCCACGTTGCAGACCTTGACTTGGCTGGAATGCCAGCAGATGGAGAGGTGGCGCAAGGCCGGCCCCAGGACAAAGTTATCCTTGGTCAGTTCCGCCGGCGAGTGGAAGTGGAGCAGAGGCCACAGCGAGGGGTCCTGGAAGACCCGCCACAGCTGGCTACACGTCTGGCCCAGCCTCTTCCTGCTGTTTTTGTCCAGGAAGGAGAAGAGGTGCAGGAGGCATTCCCAGTTCAGCTCCGTCAAACGCATTGCCTTGGGGTGCCTGTGGCACAAAGGCAGCAGGCAGCGGCACGCGGGGCGCTGGGCTTAATCAGCTTCCAAAGGCTCCAGATCCCTTGCACAAATATGGTGTGGAATGGAAGCTATTTTTGGCTGCCAGCTGGGAGAAGTTTCAAAAAAGGACAAGGCACCAGCCCCCCCTCTCGCCTCCCTCTCGCCTCCCTGTGCAGGGACTCCTTTCGGCCCCTCTGGCCTTCGAAGGGCCACTTCAGCCTTTAAACCCAGACGGGCAACTTCTATGGAGAACCTGTCGGCTTCAGCTCAGGTCAATGGGCCTCGGCCAGAACCCAATTCCAGGACAGAGAACCCATCTGCAGGGACAGGAAAAGGCCCCCAATTTGGCTTGTGCTGGGGACAGGAAACGGGAGTTGGAGGCTGCTGGGCTTCAGTGCTCCCCCCCCCTGGGCGGCTGTCACCAGCAGGTGCAGCGCAAGGCGTGGGGCAGAGCAGGAAGACCCCCCCTGGGCCCTCGGTGGCCAGACCAGCCCTGAGACGCCACAAAAGGCCTCCGGGCAAGTCCTCTTTGGCGCCCACTTGGAGCAGCCGGTTGCCCCTCGGCTGGCGATGCTGCAGGAGAAAGTGCACCCCTGGCCCATTCCCGGGTGAGCTACGCACAGCTGAGGGCACTTGGGGGGTGGGGCTGCATTTTCTTTCCTGGGTCAATAGGGGGCAGTCTGGCTTTCGGGCTCCTTGTCCCCTAACCCTAAAGCAGCCCAAACGCCCAGCAAAGCAGCTCTGGAAGAGCGATGGGTCAAGCCTGCCAGCTGTGCAAAGGCAGCTCACATCACAGCTGGCTCAGTTCTGACCTCCAACAAAGCCCCCATGCCCCCAGCTGCTGCTCTTGAGAGCAAGTGCCAGCCTCCCTGCCCCCATCAAGGCAACGCTCCCCTACCCACCCAGCCCAGCCCAGAGAAGACTTCAGAGGCAACGTGGAGAGGAATATATTTTAGGAGAGTTTCAACCATGGTCAAGATCACCATCAAATGCGCTTAAGACAACCACTCACCAAATGTATACATGTTAAATGGCCACCCAAGAAGCCCCCGGGCTGCCCAGGAGCCCCAGGACACAACACGCACTGGAACCAGAGAGCACACAGTGCGCAGACAGAGCACGAAGCCGGCCTCGTCCTGCTCCTCCATGGGGCCTTCTGGGGCCCCAAACCTCTCCAGTGCCAACGTCCAAGAGAAGAGGCGGCAGGAGGGCCCCGCGGCAGGAGCCCTTCAGGTGACGAGAGCCGTGGTGGGCAGGGAGGGGGAGGCCAGCATCTCCACGGCCCCAGGCCTCTATTCCTCCCGAGGCCCCCTGTGGGGGCAGCATAGCTGGCGTGGCGGAGAGAAAGTCCCCACCTGAGGGCAAAAATCTGTTTCTGGCTGGGCTGCTTCAACCAATCTCCACCAGGAAGAGGAATCCATTGTGTTGCCACAACCTGCAGATCCCTCCGTCCGGTGGCCAAGGCAGGCAGGGGCCGAAGGGAGAAGGGCTCCCCTTGTCCCTGCTGGGGGAAGAGTGGCAACGCAGCCGGGGAACAGGAGGGGGGGGCATCCACACTGCCAGGACAGGAGCCTTGGCCAGACCTTCTGCCTCTCAGTGGTGCAGCTCCTAACAGGGAGGCTGGGGAGAGCTGCGTGCGAGTGAAGCATTGGGCTGACCTGGAGGACGAAACCCGGCATCCCTACGGCCTCCTCCTGGAGCAGCCGCCTCGCACAGGGCTGCCCATTCTCCCTGGCATCTGTGGGCACCCAGAGGGGGGCAGAGGGGGCCCCAGGGGCAAGCAGAGAAGCAGCTGAGCGGCTTCCCCAACTGGCAGTGGGAGAGCGCCCCCTGGTGGGAAGACGACTGCCTTCCCGCCAAACAGAAAAACTCAGGAAAAGGGTCCGATTGATTGCAATGATACACCTGGGAATGTGATGTCACAACTGACTCACAAAACGGAATCCAGCCTGGATATTGTGAATCTGGGCTTCCTTTCTCCTGGACCACCTAATTTAGTTTCTGGCATTGTGGGGAGGGGGCAGCAAGACTTCCAGGGGGTCCCTACAGCTCTTCCACCATTTCGCAGCTCTGGCTCCATCGGCCTGGGCCCTGCTGGAACCATCGCCTGCCTCTCGGGTCCTGGGTTTTCATGCCAGGGGAGGGGAGGGGAGAGGGGCTTGTTCCTCTTCAGCTACCAGCATATTCTACCTCCCCACCCCACCCCCAACGTCCCTTTCTGGCTCCCCTCCATTCCCTGAACTGAAGAGTTCTGCAGAACTCAAACGCATAGACGTTTGGCTGACTGGAACAAATGCCACCAGGGACCTTCGTTCTTTCCCTCGAGGGCCTTAAAAACTCTTCCACGCAGGGGGCTCAAGAAAAACGCAGCCTGGAAAGTCGTCTCCTGCATCTTCTCTTCCAAAGTTTCTCCCCTCAGAGGCCCAAACGGCAGTTTCTGCTTCTCCTCTTCAAGCCGGGAGGTCAGAGAGTTGACGGTCGCAGAGGGAGTCTGGACACTGCGCTGACAAAATGAGTAGCCGATCCCGAATTCTGATTTTTTGGTACCTTAATTGCAGCAGAATAGTAATTTTCTGTATTCGTATAAAGGATTTTCTAAAAAAGAGTTTCTATTACAAACAGTGCCGCCATCTACGGAAGTACAATCTACAGACTAAAAGGAACAGCCGTCGGAGAAACACAAATAGCAGCAGTTACATGGCCTGTTTAATGCAGCCCCCTTCAGCCCCGCAGAGGAAGAAAGGGGGCGTCCCAAAGTCTGTGCCTGCATCCCGGTTGGGCCGGGGGTGGGTGGGGGTCGAGTCCTTGATCCTGGGAGACCCACCGAAGCCCCAGCTGGCCTTTCCCAGCTCCTCAAAAGGATTCAAGTTTCCCTCGTGGAATTGTGCCTTTAGAAAGCAAACCAGAACACGGAGACAGGAAAGTCAAACATGAAAAGTTGCTCTTGAAACCAGGTATAAAATCTGAGTTTAAGCAGCATTTCAGGATCTGCTGAGGTTTTGCCTTTTTTTTTTCCGGTATGACTAACCACAAAGTTAGCTTGTGTCCATTTTTTAATAAGTCAAATGCTACTACCGACAATGTAATAAAACTAGAACCCACCAAAAAAATTTTTTTTTGAAAAGTGCACAATGAAATCAAGAGTCTCGGATCAAGTATCTGTGGAGAACTGGAAATGTTTTGTCCGTTGGACTAGATATGCGCAGGGCAGAGAGAGGCCTTAAAGTTTCTCGGCTCCAGACTTCGCCTGCCGGTCAACGTAGAAGAGGATGTAGGCCTTGGCTTTCGAGACCGTCTCCTCCTCCGTCAGCGTCACCGTGCTGTCGTTGAAGTGGAACCAGCGCCCTTCGTGAGTCGCGTATGCTGTGTAGTGCCCAGAACCGACCCTGAAATGCCAGCACCCAAGAGGTGAAAGGGGGGCCCCTGGGGCTGAGCCCGGCTCGAGAGGGGAGCGGCCAGGCAAAGGCTGCTCACTCCGGCCTCTGCACCAGCCATTCAAGGTGGCTGCTTGCGCCAAGCCCTTCCCCCCCACCCCCCAAGTAATCAAGGCTCCCACTGGGGGTTGGTTGAGCCCCGCCAGTTTATTGCCACCGGTTCACAGAGAAAGCCGACCAAGGGGGCCGCTCTGGGAAGGGAAGGAAGGCCACAAGGGAAGCCACGCCAGTTCTCGGCTGCCCTGCGAGGCCTTGGGAACCCCCGCCCTCCTCCCTGCCACTTGAGGGGCTGATGCTTCCGTCTGCCCACCTCCCCGTCACGTGTCAATGCATGCCAGGATTTCAGAAGTCCAGCCCCCAACCCAGAGCCTTCCAAGTACTCACCCTGACCCATGGTGCACAACCACAGCCGCGAGGTCATAGAGGCAACTGTCTGGGCCGCTGTTTTCCGGCTGCACAGGGAGGAGCGGGGGGAGGGGAAGCCAAAGAAACTGAGTGTCCTGACGCTTCAGCCTGACCACTCCCGCCTCTTCCCGGCCACGGGTGCCTTACCTCCAGCAGGTAGCACTTCATGTCCAGGCCGCGCAGAGGGAACTCGACAAAGGTGTCCACCTTGTTCCTCAGGTAGGCCGTCCAGTGGAAGCGTTTCAGGTGCAGGCACAGCACCTGCGCATTAAAGGGACACACGGCAGAAAAAGCCTTTAAGGGCCACATTGGTCAAAAGAGTAAAATTAAAGCAGTTTTGCAGCAGCTTTGGGCACAAGAGCACAGAAACCAATTATTTCTGTGAGAAAGTAAAAATTCCACAATAGCAGCAGTTATTTAATATATTTCTATACCCTTTCCTATTAATTTGTCAATTTTAATAGACTTGTATGCCGCCCAATCCCGAAGGACTCACAGCAGCACACAAAAACTCACAGACACCCCAAGGAAAGCAGTGAAGGTCCTTTGGATGAGGCCAAGATGTTCATCCAGGGGTTCCAGGGGACCCCGCCTGAAAGCTGGCTCAAGAAACGGCTTCCCTGCCACAGCCCCTCCACAACCTTCACTGGGAGACATTATTGAGAAACTGCAGCTTTTCTTCCTCCACCAAAAAGATCCCGCGGGGTTGATCTCAAGTGGGGCTCACTTTGGGCAGCTTCTGCATCCAGAACTTCTTGGTGGACTTCTGCTTCTTCTTACACTTGTGGCACATGTAGAGCTCCGAGTCATCGAGTTCCTCCAGGTCGGTGAAGCTACGGAGACAATCTGGAGCAGCGAAGAGGGCGAGTGAGTCCCTGCCCCGTGGCTCTGCCATTCAAAGGAAGGAAGGACGGGCGGACAGAGACCGGAGAGCCGCTTCCAGAGAACCTACCCCGCAACGTGCAGATTGGTCCATTCTCTTGGTTCTTGTTACATTTATTCCGGAACTGACTTGGAATATCTAGCGAGAGGTCTAGAAAAGCGAAGGTCTCGTGAAAAGTCTAGAAAAGACTCTGGTCAGGGTGACAAAGGGAGGCGGTCCTTGGATACTTTCAAGAGGGCACATATATTTTTAAGCCCTTTACCTAGGAATGGATCAAACTTTCTGGATTCAGTTCCACATATCAAGCAGTTGACTTCATTCTGAAGGACGCCTCCGAAGATCGTGGTGACAACGGTAGAAGTGCCATTCCTGAAGAAAAGAGGGAGGGGGGGGGGAGGCATCAGGACAGGAGGCTCCTCACAATGGCTGTGCCCGAATGTCCAATTGCTCTACTGTTGTTTGGGCATTTCACCTTTGTGTAAAGGCAACCCTCGAGGAGGGAGAGAAGGTTGGGGACGTGTGCTAAGACACCCTCCTCCTCCTCAGCCAGGCCGCCCACACGCTGCCCTCCATCTCCCAGGGGCCTCTGTGGTGGGAGGCAGCCACAGCCACCCACTGAAAGTGGCCCCAGCCACGAAGCCCCCAGAGGACTCAGACTTACACGCAGCACCGGCTGCCGGCAGTCAGACCAGGCTCCTCTTGAAGAAGCGCTGGGGGGGCAGCACCGTTGAAGCCCTCCTGCAGTTCCAGGTGCAGGTGGTCCAGGAGGTAGCGCATGAACTCGTGGGCATCTTGCTGCTGGTACCCCCTTCACAGAAACAAATCCAGGAATCGATCGACTGGCCCCCAATTCTTATGCGCGCTGCGCACAGGGAAGGTGAAGGGGCCCAGCGCCTGAGTGATGCGGGAGGCCGTTTCTTCAATCCTCCGACCACACGGAAGGATTCTAAAGCCCTTCTGGGGAAGTCCTGGTCAATGCAAGACTCTCTCCAAGGTGCAAACTCCGGGGCACTGAGACCCGTGTGCCTGAATGCACATGCGCAGGACGGGGACACCCTCGGTGTTGGTGTGGGTGTGTGAAGAGAGCTCCTCAGGAGACCCAGGAAGCACGAGAGCTTCTCCAGACGGTCTCCCTCAGCAGCCTCAGGAGCCACTCTCGGCGCTGCTCCTTCCCTTTGGGGGACACACAGAGGGGACCCGCCTGGAGGCCCGGCTGGGGCAAAGCTGCTGCTCCTCCAAAGAGGCCTACCTGAAGTTGGGCATGATTTTCCAAACCACGTAAAAAAGGGACTCGGGGCTGAAGGCGGTTTGACTTCCTTGCCACAAAGCACAGAGGGTCTTCCGGAATTCCTCCACCAGGGAACTGCCGAAGGGAAGCAACTTTCGTTCTCAGAAAGGAAACAAATGAACCCTCCCCCTCCATGACTGGAAAAGTCACCACCGAGGGGTTTTTTCCCCCTTCTCTCGTTCTGTCATTTCAGAGACTGCTTTGGCAAAACCCTGCAGTTTCCTCTTGGCAAGGACTTTCTGAAGGGTTTCCCACTGCCTCCTTCCCGGGGCTGAGAGACAGTGACCGGCCCAAGGCAGGACTAGAACTCAGGCCCCTGGTTTGTAGCCTGATGCTTTAACCACTACATCTAACTATCCCTCAGCATGCAACCAGGATGCCGCTTGTTCCATAACGGAGGCCTCTTTCTCCGCCAGCCCCTTAAGCCCCGCTCGCTCCTTCCGTCTCCTCTGCTCCCGGGGGGGCTCAAGCACTCACACGCCGTTCTCTCCTTGGCTCCGCGTGTGGTACGTCCGCCGGCCTGCAGTCTTCCCGTTCCGAAGTTCCACCGCTGGCAGCTCTTTGAAGTAACAGCAGAACTCTGGAATGTTACTGTGGGGAGGAGGAGGAGAGATCAGCCAGAGGTGCCGGAAGGGCCCCGCGCTCCACCCTCCGTGCTTTAACTGTGCAGGGGGCCGTCCCGCTTACGACTGCCCGGAAAGGAGCCTGCGTGGCAGGACCAGAAAAGGCTCCGGCATGGACGGGTCTCTCGGGGGAAGAGCCCCATTCCCAAACGAGGGGTACCTGAGGGACTGAAGGATGGCGTTCATGAAACACGTGTTCCCCAAGTTCCGAAGACCTGTGGCGCACAAGCTTGCGGGGCTCCCCTGCGAACCAGGAAGACCCCCGTGAGTGGACAGACAATACCCCCCCCCC